GTACCAACTCTGCCCCATGTCTTGTATTTTTGTCACCCCCTGCATATGGTGGTTGTCTTTCTGAAGAGAAGAGCCTTCTGTATCAGTGAAGGCCCTCCACATTTCTGGATCCTGATTTTCATGGCTTCAACTTGGATGGAAAAGCTCCTTTGTGAGAAGGGAGTGAAGCTAGCATACCCACCCCAATATGTTGAATATACCTGGAACAAGAAGGCCTAATGAGGGCTAGTTAAGATGTCAGGTGAAGGTTTGTAGGAGTCATGCACCACATACTGCCAACTTTGCATGATGCTTCCTGAGTTGAGCATGTTGATTGATAAGCACATAAAACAGGATTTGATTTCAGAATAAATGAAATAATTCTCCAGCACTCATACATAGTATTTGAAAGGTGCTGTGAACAGTTGGTATCAGATCTTTAATGAAATTAACTGCAGCTTCTGTAGAAGTTTGAGAATAAACAGGTTAAGCTTTGGCTTCCTGTTCTATGTGACTCCAGCTTACAAAGTAACATTATTTTTAGGTACTATCTTAAAAGGCAGGCCATCAAACACATCTTTGTAACTCAGTGGACAGGAAAACGTTGTCTTGCAATGCTCCTCTGTGGACATGAAAAGTGACTCTGAAAACACCAGCAAAAGTGTGTGTGAGGGAACTGCACCGTGTTCCCATTAAAAATATATTTTGGGCTCAGAAGGTTATTTATTTTCAACATGAAGGGACTCAGATATTGACTGGGAGGCACAGTCTCTCCGAACGACCCATAGGGAGTGTTGGGAGGAATGTCAGCCCTTGGGTGTCCACTAAATAGAAAGGGTGGCTCCCTAACTCAGAACAGGTGCCCATTCCTTGTCTAAATTAATATTTTCTCATTTCTCAAAGCAGGATTTGGTTTCCATTCAATTTGGGCAATAAATCACATGCTGAATTCTAGTCTGATCTTTAGACCATCTGTACAAGGTGCTGAACAGTACTCATCCAATAACTACAGCACCTTGGATTGCTCCTTTAAATTCTGAACTAAAATCTAGGGCATAGAAGTTATCATCCACCACTGACTGTGGGGCAGAAGGGTAGCTATGATCTTTTTAATGCAAGTAAAATTTTCGTACAAATGCCAGTAGTTTCAAGCCATGCAAAAACCACTCCTGATCCTTTTTTGTCTTTTTATTTTTTGCATAAGTGATGATTATATCGGGGAAAAAAACAAAGAAAATAGGTGTCAAGTGACAGATGTGAATATAAGTAGGAGGAAGATCATGGAGGAGATCTTTAAAAGAATCAGCTCCTGGTAAATGCCAAATTACCATGTGCAATTACACGAAGCCAGTAGAAGGGGGGGAAACAGAGAATATTATGATTGAAGCTGAGGGTGGAAAGAACAAACAAAGCTTCAGAACAGAAAAGAGAAGCTGGCGATGAGAAACAGGTATGCCAGCGAAGAGAACAATAGCCCCATTGAAAAGAAAGACTCCCAGAGTAAAAGTGGTGTCAGTATCATAGCTGTTGTTCTTAAAAAGAATGGAATAGAAATTCTTGGCAAATAAATTATGGATAATATGAAGCAGAATGCCAACCCTGTGCCTTGTTTGCATGTCTTCCTTGTAAACGCCCTCAGAGTTTAATGTTGTATTATTCAGCTCACCCACTCCCAAGTCTTTCTTCCTGATATCTCAAGCTTTTATGATGTTCTTCCCATCATTTCTGTGTTTTATCAAAAGCATGCCTTGTGGCAAAGTAGTTTCGGGCAAGGGCATCTTCCCTCATACCTCAGACTTGTATTCTGCCAGTTGCTAATGTACTTTTGTTCCCTCTGGTGAGAGTAGATTGCAAGCATTACAACAAGGCATTTATTATCTGGTATTTGCTATCATTCATCAGTCATCATGTACAAAGGATTGGGAAAATGTCCACTTTTATATAAATGTTTTAAGAACTATTAGTATGACTCAGACTCCTTACCTTCAGATAGTATTCCTTATAGCTCAGTGTTTTGTCCCTCCCCTTTAAAATAACAACAACAAGTATTTTTGATTGCTACCAGACATTCACATTCTAGGGATTAAACTTAATTGTTTATTGTTGTTCACTGATATCAAATCTGCTTCAACTTACAGTGACCTCATGAATGGGAGGGCTCCAAGTCATCCTATCTCCAATCGTCATACCCAATTTGTATTGTATGCAAGTTATATAGTTCATCTGAGAAGCAGTAAAAGAGAAGACAAGCAAATTTACCAAAAGTAACCCCTCCCCACAAAACTCTTGGAAGTTAGTGTTGACTTGGTTAATAAAATTTCTCAGGGAGTTTTTATTTTTGTTGATTTCTTAGAGAGAAATTGAAGGCAAATGTGAAACATTTTTCTTGGTCTGTGTTTTGTGGGAAATGGAAGAAAAACAAAAAACTTTGTATTTAATTTTCTTACCCTTCCAACCCTAACTCTTATCAGATTTTGCACTTTTCCTTTAGCCCCATCCTGAAACTATTGCACAAACTCTTAGCCCTCTGAGCTCAGTATTTATTACTGTTCAGGCTAGGGATTGCTTTTATGGTGTTGTGTTATTGTGATATTATTTCTGATATTTTTGATTTTATTTTATTGCATCGTGTTTTAATCTGTGTTTTTCCAAGCTTGTCCCTTTGTAAGCCGCCCCAAGTCGGCTTACAAAGAGATGGAGGCAGGGTATAAAAATAAAGTTATTATTGTTATATTATTTGTAGAATTTCTAGAGGATTTACTACTGCTTGTTTAATAACAGTGAAAAGTACACCTTCAATAACTAAGCCCGTACCTGCATAGGGGTTTCTTAATTAATCAAATGCACTATTGCAGAGCAGCCTGATCCTTTGAATCCAAAGTATCCAGACTTCACTAGCTGCTTCCTAACTGCTCAGTGAACCCAATGGCTTGGATTGGAGTGTAGCTACTAGAGGAGGAGCAACATGAAATCATGGTTCCGTCAAATAAGAATTTTGCATCTCCTGATAAAATTCTGCTCCCCAAATGTCTGGCATGACAGTAATTAAAAAAAATATCTGAGTATGTATAGACACAATTTAGGCATCCAAAAGAAAGGGGCATCATGCAAAGTTACAAGGAAAAACCAAAGTAGGTAAATTGAAGAGGTCTCTGTATGGATGATATCAAGTCTTTTACTCTCTTTAGTGCTAAAAAAATTAGGTACTGATGGAAAATTTCACCAAGGTGGCAAATTTCTTATTTAAGTGGAGGCAATGCCTTCATTTTCCTCTCCCTGTATCTACAACCCAAGATCCAAAGAATGAACCACTAAGTTTGGAAGGAGAACAACACTCTCTGTACAGTCAAGATTTGACTGACTACCCTTCTCCCACTTCACTCTTGGCAATCAGAGTTCCCTTTCCCCAAAAGAAGAGATCCTATTCTTTTTGAAAACCACCTTACATTTTCTCTGGTGGGAATTGGTCGAGCAAAAAAAAAAAAGAATAAGGTGAATGTCCACCTACACTTGTAGCTGTCTTCTTGTGGAAGTGTTATTTTTTCTTTTATTCCTAACCAAAGCTGAAGTTCATGCTTGTTGATGTGCTTGAAAAAGTTATGCAGCATAGCTTGCAGTTCAACCTCAGAATACATGTGAATGAAATAAAAGGAATCAGTGCTGTCAGGGAAATGTCACAATAGTATGCTTATGGTAGTATTCTATATTTTTATAAGCAATTAGCTTTTGGTTTGCAAGAGCAATTGACCATTTAGGTTCTTCAGCTGGGTTCTATTGCTTCCATCATATCTGGTGAATCTCGCTCCTGCATTCTCTTGTGCAAACTGAAAACCTGTTCCAAAGGGCTGGGAAACTAGATCAGGTCTTGTGTACCACGGCAATCATACAATGAAAAGAACAGAGGAAGAAAATACCAGTTCCACTGGTAATGGGTAAAGAAGTGGGAGAACACAATTGGCTCTACGTGGCTCTACGAGCAGGCTTTCGGCAACTAACTCAATAATGACGGCATCGGACAAGGAATGGAAAAAGGATCTTGAGATCGGAATCTGATTCTAAGTGTGGCGTTGATGATTATGTGTTTGTCTGTATTGTGTGTCTCATACATTGTTTAGTGTTGCTTTTTATTGTAAACCGCATTGAGTCGCCGCCTCAGGCTGATATATGCGGTATACAAATAGAGTAAATAAATAATAAATAAATAAATAAATATTGGCTTTCATATAAAACCAAACCACCAGAATAAGAATATATAGTTGGAGTTGCAATTGAAGTTATGAATGCATCACCTAGAGTTGCATATTCATGACTGATTTATTTTCACAATCATAACATATTTAACAATGTAGAAAATACACAGGGATTGCAGAAGTCTCCCTATCCTGGTTTACTGTATATTGGTCATTGCAAGGAATGGAGGTCTGTTCCTCTGTCCATTGGGGTGTAGCAGTTGATCTTCTCACTTCCCTCCCATGAGCAATATCTAGATGCATTGTGACAGGGATCCTGCTTCTTCCAGCCACAGCAGAGATCAATGTATTGTTGAAGGCGTTCATGGCCGGAATCACTGTGTTGTTGTAGGTTTTTCAGGCTGCATGGCCATGTTCTAGAACATGGCCTGCAGCTTGAAAACCCTACAATAAAACAGCAGAGATCCCTTCTTGGAAGAGAGATCAATATGCCAGTCTGCTCTATCTTGATTGACAGAAGATCAGACTTCCATTGCTTACAGCAGTGGATGCCCTGTAAATCAGAAATGTGTGTGTGTACATGTGCGTGTGTGCCAGTGTTGATGTCAGTGTCAGGCTAGAAGATGCTACTTAACCAAGTAGCTGATCAAGAATTTTGGTCTTTGGAAGGGTTTTTCTTTCCCTGAATACTGACTGGGCACTGGACGTGGGAGGGAATGCAGGCATTCTTCCAAGCCTTACTTTGCTAATCCATTAAGAGTGATCTGATAATGCACTGTCCTAAACATTGATGTGTTCTGCTTTGCACTAAATGCATCTTTCTACTTACAGCAAGTCCAACCAAGCCTGGACGTGGAGGCTACCCGAGTTCAGATGAGGTGGTTCGGGAATCCAGCAGCACAACTGGCATGGTAGTTGGGATTGTGGCAGCAGCCGCCCTGTGCATCCTCATTCTTCTCTATGCCATGTACAAGTACAGGAATCGAGATGAAGGCTCCTACCATGTTGACGAGAGCCGAAACTACATCAGTAACTCAGCACAGTCCAACGGGGCTGTGATTAAGGAAAAGCAGCCCAACAGCTCGAAAAGCTCCAACAAAAATAAGAAAAACAAGGATAAGGAGTACTACGTCTGATCCCGAGTGCTGAAAAAGAACAATTGTATAGAAATAGTCTTCATTTTATCTGAGACATAAAACAAAACTTATTTACTTTACTTTTTATGAAGCACATGCAATGTTTAAAACAACGGGAGAAAAAGAACACAGGGAATGCAATTGGAAAGGAACAGACTTTTTTTAAGAAAAATAAACCAAGGGAAGAAAAAAATTGAAATAAGCATTTCATACTCTGGTTTTGCTGAAACTGGAGTCAATAAATCCCCTTACATCCACAGTGTTTTCATTTACTCTGCCGTCTTTATGTTGCTGGAATGTTTCTGAAGATGATGTTGGTAACTACTGCACACTGAAAAGGCAAAGAGTATTACTACTAAAACATCACCCAGCACCACACAAAATTGTGACAAACTGAAACAAAATAAAAATGAAATCTCTCTCTCACACACACACACAAAAGCTACCTATGAATCTGGATTTAGCCAAAGTGCTAGTGCATTCCTGAGGAGTAAGTTAAGTCTTATTACCTGAGAAGACTTTGCCGTTCTAGACAAGCGCTCAAAAAGCAAACCTGAGTTTGTCACCCTGTGCATCGCAACAACTGGAGCTTGGGTTTGAAGTTGGCTTTTCTGAACACACCATACAAAAAGAAGAAGAAAAGGAAAAAGGAGAAGAAGAAGAAGATTTTTTTAAAGCCCCTTTCTGGTTGTGAGGAAAAGAGTATAGCGGCCTTATTTTCAAATAATAATCATAATAATAATAATAACAATTAACAAACAAAAGAAGTGAAATATAAGGCTTATTTTCACACGCCACCAAACAAACAAACCTGAGGGCATAGATGCAATCATTGGGGGGAAAAGTTCATGCACGCTTAATATGTTATTACATATGTTTATATTAAAAAAAACACATCTATATGTGCTTTCTGGACTGTGATAAGTGATGTTTTCTAGCCTGTTGTATAGACAATGCAAACTATATCTGCTCTTCAACCATTTTTGGTAAACTCAATGTTCTAAGTGTTGCTAGGTATAGAACGTTTTTGACATCTGGAGCAACCAACATCTGTTTACTTTTGCACCCATGAGAAACTGCCACAGTTTTTCTTCCCCCTCCTGATTCGTTCTTTCTTTCTTCTTCTTCCTTTTTCTTAAAAATACCTTTAGTTTAATTTGAGTTTTGATTTACAGTATAACGGCTATACCAAGAGAGATGTGTATGAATGTATATAAGAGTCAGCTAATTTTCTTCTTAACCTGTACAGCCTTTCTCTCTCTTCTTTTGCAGTTCAGTTTTCGTAGTTTGTATGAAAGAAGTGGATTTAGAAAGCAAATATATATAGATATAAACATCCGATTTTTCTTCTTCTGTTTACCCATGCACTCCCAGGATACTTCAGGAAAACTAATCAAAATCACATGATTTCTGCTACTCCCCACGAAAGATCCAAACCTGGTGTTTTTAGATAATCTTTGCATTCCAGGTTAGATTATGCCATTGGCCAGTGCGGTTGATCACTCCCTGAGAGTCACAAGTGAGAGAAAATTCAAATATCATGGTATCCTTCATCCAAATTTTTATTATTGTTACATCGAATTGTTAAAAGAGTTCTGAAGTATGCCCTTTAACTAATTCTAGCTCATCCAATTAAGACATCTATCGGTTATGTAAAGCAGATATGCCATTCATAAACAATTCAAAACACAATTCCAGTTTGAATAAGTAAATGTTTCCTTTTAGCTGTTCTTTTTTTAACAAGAGATATCTCAGAATCCATCCAGGTTTAAATGGTATTTCTTCTTCTAAGCTAATTTGGTTCCTTGCTTTGGTGATACAACTTTTTTCAGTTTCTCTGCAAAGGTATAAACGTCAAATGCATTTTGGTTTAAATACATGTTACAAATTTGCAGTTTTGTTTAGTTCTGTTACAAAAAGATGGCTCCATTGGGTTCCAAACAATTGTGTGACATCCCACAAAGTGTGAGAGATATAAGAGGAATATTATACTCTGAAAGAAGCCAGTTCAGTAGAGAATCATCCCTACTGGAGAAAGCCTCCTGGGATGTGTAAAATTGTCCCTACTTTACAGACTGAAAAAAAGGAATTTAAAATTAGCTTTAACCAGCAGGACACTGTATTGTCTTGTTTGCTGTTCACTGCCACTGGGGTGAAAGATTGGGAATGGGTAGAGCTCTCAGTCTTCAGCAAAGGAATACTTTAGAAAGAGAAGGTCTTGGCATTGTCATCTTCAGAAGATGCCAAATGGTTTGATGATGCTCTATGTACTGTCTAATGCTTTGGAGATTGGGGCTGGTAAGGCAATGCTTGTGAATATGTGAAGGCTACATAGCACTCAAGTTATCCTACTGAAGTCATCACTTCATATACCACCTTTATATGTTACCTTTGCCAGGAGAAGGACAGTGAATGGTTACTGTCACAAATCATGAAGAAGGCACTGGTTTTTGCTACCCAAGATAAGCCAGTGCTGAGAAATGAATTTCCATAACAATAAGGTCACATGGAAGGGGATACAGTTTCTATTCTTTGTCATTCTCCATCAGTGCCACAGTCTAAGCTGATGGCAAGGTTCTTTTGTGTCGTCATATATTGGCTCTGTTACCTAACTTGGGTTGTTGCTTTTCAAGTAATTAACACAATTACTTTTAAGGAATAAGTGATGCAGGGATTGCCTTTTATAGAAAAGGTAATCTGAAGCTATTTTCTGGGGAGTTACTCCCTTTCTTCCTTGTTGATTTTGTGAATTAATAACAAAGAAAGTGTTTGCATTTATCAAATGTTGCAGTAGCGATATTAAAACACTTTTTTCCTCTCTTTTTCAAAAAAACCCATAACAAACATGTTAATCCCATCTCTATAATAATCTAATCTGTTTGACTATGGCTACAATCCTATGCACTCTTAACAGGGAACAAGCCCCATACGGTTAGGATTGTGCTGCAATGAGATGGCTCTGGGTTGTTGTTTTTTCTTACTGTATTGTGTTGCCTTTTTTTAACAATACACTAAAATAATGTGTGAAATAATTCATTCCCAAGATATCAGAAAAGAGGTCAGAAGCCCTTAACCTTATAGTGCTTTCTGTGATAGATATTTACAATTTTTTTTATTTGTTGCAAGGCCAATTTATCCATTATTGGAAATGCTAAGCAAGTGGAATTTACCGTTTTGTTAATAAAATGTTTCTTAATACAGTTGTTGGGTCATTATTATTTTTTCTTTGCATGATAATGCTGTGATAGTATGCATTAATGACATCATCAAGTCAACATATCATCAGTTGCAATGAAGGACTCTATTCACTTCACTTTCTTCCAAACTCATGGGCACATAGATTTAGAAGAGACTACAAGGACCATCCAATCCAAACCCTTTGCCATGTAGGAATATACAATCAAATCACTTCCAGCCTCTGTTGAAAAAGCTCCAGAGCAGGAGATTCCATCACACTTCAAGGCAGCATATTCCACTGCTGAACAGCTCTTATCATCAGGAAGTTCTTCCTAATGTTTAAGTGAAATCTCTTATCATGTATTTTAAATTGTTCTAGCACAGCAAAAAAACACAACCTTGTTCCCTGCTCAGTATGACACTAATGAACACTGGGCAATTTGCTGGCTCTACTATATATTAATGTAATAACATTCTTCTACAACTTCTCAATTCTAATTTCAATCCACTTACAAAGTCCTCAACAGGATTCTAGCTTGTTCACTTCTGTTTTGTTTTCTCCCACATTTGAATGTTTGAAACCTGAACTGTTTTCTGTTCACTTTTTAAAGAAACACATACATTTTGGAAAGCTTTTATCTGGAAACTGGAATAAAATGCTTATTCATTCCTAGTCTTGGTCCAGAAACTTGTTGGTACTTTATATGGGTATGTCTATACGTGGGATCAGTCAAAGGTAACAAATGACAGGTGTCGCAGATAAGAAAAAGGTGAGGCCTTAGATAAATATCCTCTTTGAAACTGGTAACTGCTGGCTACATCTCTCATAGTGGCATACACAATTATAGGTTCACTTTACACTTATGCAGATATTTTTTTGTTTTGTTTACATTGTGGAGTTGGCACTCTTTTCCAACCTCCACAACAAGCAAAACACATCCAGGACACAGTTTTGATGAAATACTCCCCTTCCCGGAATGTCCTTTGTGTAGCTAGTGGAAAGTGTGGGTTGTTAGCAAAGCATATGGTTATGCTCCACAATCAGGTGGTGACTGATGACATCATCTGCTGAATTCCCAATTATCCTGTAGGAGTAGCATGATGTTTCTCCAGTCCCAACCCCACTCTCTACCAGCCCCAGAATGGCCATTCGGTGAGTGGGGAGATGAGGTAGAGTTCTGGCTGTAGAGATCTTAGGCTCAACTGAGCAATTTAAGATCTCATCCTATGTTTGCTTCCTTTACCACTGCCGCATACATCTGGAAAATGCAACTGTTAGCATAATGTATTGCAGATTGCTGCATGGATCTCCTGTAAAAAAAAACCCTACTAACACATCCCACTCTCATTTCAACAGAGGAAGTAAACAACTTTCCATGTTTCCAAGAAAGGAAGGATGGACCATGTCTTGAAATATATGGGTTACTCCACACCTGGAGGCTCAGAAAGTGATAGTTTGCAGGAAATGGTGCATGAGATATTTCTTCATCATTCAAACCAGTATTATTGTTCTGTAGGCCACTGTTTTAAATTATGTTTTTTCCCCCCAACATCATCATTTTCCTTACAATACATGAGAAGGCAACTTCCATGTACTGTTGTGTTTATATTGTTCCATGTGCTGGTGTGGAATGACTGCTCAAACCTAACATGTGTAAACAATAAGCCATATTTAGGCTTTTTTTCAATGCAGACAATCCATACCAACCCGTGAATGTCAGGAGTGAAACCAACAGCATGTATCATCTTGATCCTGTGATCCGGGTTAGAGCAGACCCACTCAATCAATGGAATTTACAAGAGGTGACATTTGCATTTACTCACCATCAGTTCAACTGGTGTACTGGACTTGGAGTACCAATAGGATTCAAGCCTACTGCCAATTAATTGGATAATGCTTCCTTCGTATCCTTTAACATTGATGCAGGTTGCTGAAATGGAAACTCAAAAAGAAAATACTTCTGATCCATCTGCATTGTCCTTTATTGTATTCATTAAAATTTGAAGGATCACTTGAAAATGTTAGCAGTGCTATTTCTGACCCTAGATTCACCAGCATAACATATCTCTTACACATATTTTCTACCTTTTTATCTCAAAATGTGCCATTTTCGCATACCATAAACTGTAAAAAAATATATACAAGAAGAGATTACAAAAATGATGCAGGTTAACATAAAAGGTTCATCCTTAACTAATAGTTTATATATGTAGTCACAGCTTGGCTTCAGCCTTACAAATGCCCATAATCACATAGGAAAAGAAGACCCTGTATAAACATGTGTCATAGAAGTTATCAAAGATTTTGACATGACTGCAATTGTCCCAACTAAAGTAGATGGTATTGAATAGATGAGTTCTAATGAAGTATTGATTTCACATGGAAAAATTGGTTCAATGTGAATGTAATCCTACTGGGAATACAAAAAAATGTTTACATCTCTTAACCCAGATGACAAAGTTCTATGGGGACTTAGTTAGAGATGGGT